ATCAAACCCATTAACCGAAGCTAATGATATTGGTGTCGTCACACTGAGAGTGAGTACAGAATCAGTCGCCCTGGCAAAACAAGAGGCACTTGTTAACGCTATCTCAGTGACACTATTGAGTGCGTTGGCAAAATACATTTTGCGATATACATCGAAATATTGGAGGATGGACTCTTGCCACTTTATTCCTTGGTTTTCGTGAACAAGAACACGACGTTGTTCCAGGAAGATGGAGCACCGTGTCACGCTGCTAGAAACACCTAAAAGTGGCAGGAAGAAACTGGTATCCAGGGCGGCCGAGCCAATCTCCTGACATGAACCACATCGAAAACCACTGAGCCATACTCGACCGGCAAGTCAAGAAACAACCAAAAACCAACTTCGAAGAGTGATCTACTCCAAGTTTTGAAGCAAGAGTAGGCGAAAATCCCACAATCTAAAATTGACGAGATGATTCTCACGATGCCTCAAAGGATCAACGAACTCCACGAAGCGAAAGGAAGATGTACTAGATATTAATTAAATTATAAATATATCAATTCATGTGAATATGACTGAAAATGTTAATTTTTTCTGAAAAGGTGGGGTCTATTTACTTGTGACCACTCAGTATATATATATATATATATAACCATCTAGTTGAATACTGGTGGGCATGGTAACGAGTGAGTATTCCTAAGTTTGTGTTCCTCTCAATACAGCTAAAAACAGAGTAAATCTGAAAACCTGAGACAAAAAATATTGTGTAATCTTTATGTAACCATAAAGTGAGACAATTTTCACTTTATGGGTAACATTTGACTCTTTTTCTCTTTAACCATAATGTGCAACAATTTTTACTGCTACATTAATGTGCAGAACAATAAAATGCTAGAATAGCCAGATTCAAATTGTAGCATAATCTAAGATTAGTTTCTGGTAATGAAGACAATTATAGGTTACCATATTCCTTAGGATGGCTTCTAGTGGTAATCAAAGTCAGATGATACCATGTTCTACAGGCTTGTTCATGGTAATGATGACAGATAGAGGTTGTCATATTTCTTAGGATGGCTTCTAGTGGTAATCAAAGTCAGATGATACCATGTTTTACAGGCTGGTTGTCTGGTAATGATGACAGATAGAGGTTGCCATATTTCTTAGGATGGCTTCTAGTGGTAAACAGAGTCAGATGATACCATGTTCTACAGGCTTGTTCATGGTAATGATGACAGATAGAGGTTACCACATCCCTTTGGAAGGATTCTAGTGACAATCAAAGTCAGATATTACCTGGATTGATTCATATGATAACCACAGTCAGATGATACCATTTTCTAGAAGCTAGTATCTAGTAGAGATGACAGTTAAATTTTACCATATTCCTTAAGATGGATTCCAGTAGCAACCAGAATGAGATAATTCCACTTTTTACCTTCAGGTTTCAGGTAATGACAGCAGTTAGATGTTACCACATTCCTATAGAAGGATTCTAGTGGCAACCATAAACCCAAATAATCTGAATGGATTCTTGTGGAAATCACAGTCAGATATAACCTGGATGGATTTTTGTGGTAACCACAGTCAGATAGTACCATTGTCTACAAGTTGATTCCTGGTAATGACGACTTTTATATGTTACCATATTACCCCAGGATGTACTCTAGTGGAAACCATAGCCAGATAATACAATTTACTACAGCTGGTCGAGTAATGACGATAGGTAAATGCTACGATATTCTTTAGGATGAATTATAGCAGTAACCAGAGTCAGACGATACCATGTTGGACTGCATGAATTCTGGTAATGACAACAGATGGATGGCATGGCATTCGTTTGAATAGATTCTAGTAGTAACCACAGTCAGAGGATCCGTGGATGGATTATACTGGTAACTATAGTCAGGTAACACCATATTCTACTGGCTGGTATTTGGTAAGGACTACAGTTAGATGTTACCATCTTCCTTAATTTAAAAAAGCTTGCTGTTGATTGGTTACCCTCACTCTGATCAACAGATTTAAATTACGAATGGTTTTTAATTTGTAATTGTTTGTAATTGTAATTAAGCACAAAGCTACACAATGGGCTATCTGTGCTCTGCCCACCACGGGTATCGAAACCCGGATTCTAGCGTTGGATGTCCGCAGACATACCGCTGTGCCACTGGGGGCATTACGAATGGACATTTCAATCTTCGTGTCTCTTACCTGGCCATTGTATAAGGTGTCATTCAGAGTGGAAACATGAACTAAAGGGAATATTTTAATAAAAATAAAAAAGGTTTATAGTTTGAATAATTTTTACAGAAACGTAAGTAAAAGAATAATTCTAAAGTTGGTCAAATAGCGCTGGAAACATATAAATAAATATACAATATTAGGAATTGTATAACACGAAGCATTAAATAAAACTGTTATTGTCTTCCTCTTCCCAGAAAGGAAACTACAGTTGCAGATCTTCACCAGAAGGAGATCGAAAAATGTCCAAACATTTTCATCACTGAGGGCCTTTGCACGTGCTTGGTGCTAATTTGTATCCTCCATGACTAGAAATAAAACTGTGTGAAACAAGACTATCATTAAGCACAATGAGGAACGAATGCAAAATTAACACTTTTTTTTTAATATAGCAACATCATCTTTCACACTTTGAATGTCTAATTTTCGGAAATGTTTCTCAATTCGCAGTAAAAACATATGCCAACTTATCAAGGACATTTTTAAGCCACTTTTTTTTTAAAGAAATGATAAAGATTTTTTCAAATTAATCACAGAAGTCCCACGTCTATAGAGTTGACTAAACCACATGAAAACTTGAACAGTAATAGACATGTTGCTTTATTCTATAGACGTGTATATCTTATCCTGTATTAAGTGTCACATCTTGTTATATAATAAGTGTCCAGTTATCCCATAGCAGTGTCATATTATTCTGTAATAACTGTACGATACCCACCAATAAGTTGTGTTAAATTTTATAGCAAGAGTTTGGACACAATAAAAACTATCATAGTTAGACATTCCTCTATTGGCGTCTTACGTTTCACTCTAGAGGTATCATTAAATGTAAGATTACTCTACAGGTGGCAAGATATTCCATAATAAGTGGCAATTTTCTCTATGGAAGTGTCAAGCTATTATAAAATAAGAGTCAAAACACTCTAACGAAGCGTCATGTTACTCTATAGAAACGTCAAACTACTCAGTAATAAGAGTTAAGCTACTATATAATATATCTCAAGTTACTCTAGAAATGTCAAGTTACTTTGTAATATGTGTCACGCCACTCTATAGAAGTGTCAAGTGTAGTAGTCTCAAGTTGGTCAACATATTGTTGCTAATAGTGTAGTAAGAGCGTGTCCTTATCATCAAATTGTTGTTAGTGGTGTAGAAAGAACGTGTCCTTCTCATCATATTATTCTTAGTGGTGTAGTAAGAGCGTGTCCTTATCATCAAATTGTTGTTAGTGGTGTAGAAAGAACGTGTCCTTCTCATCATATTGTTGTTAGTGGTGTAGAAAGAGCGTGTCCTTCTCATCATATTATTCTTAGTGGTGTAGTAAGAGCGTGTCCTTCTCATCAAATTGTTGTTAGTGGTGTAGAAAGAACGTGTCCTTCTCATCGAATTGTTGTTAGTGGTGTAGAAAGAGCGTGTCCTTCTCATCATATTGTTGTTAGTGGTGTAGAAAGAGCGTGTCCTTCTCATCATATTGTTTCTAGTGGTGA